GAAATAAATAAATTAATTAATTAATTAAAAGTTTATGCTTTCCTGGCCCTTAGGAAACATTTCACATGGGGCTGGCCAGTTAGCTCACTTGATTAGAGCACAGTGTTTTAACACCAAGGTCAAGAGTTTGGATCCCCCTACCCGCCAGCAGCCAAAAAGAAAAAAAAAATTTCAGGTGAAAAGCCTGTCTTTTGTTCTCCTTGCTCCAAAATTCAACTCACTGAAATGGAACAAACACCAACTGAGTGTCTATTATGTGCTAGATTCAAGTGAAAAAAATTTTAATGGAAAAAACAATTATCAGAAAGAAGTCCATTTATAAAATAGTTAAGTTAAAAATACCTTTATTAAATCTAATTCAACAGTCTTCAATTTTTAAAAACTCACAATACTTAGTCAATATGATCTAATTTTCTTTTGTTTTCATCTCGTTTTAGTACTTTTTACTTAAGTGTATGTAACATCACATTCAGAACATCATGGTGATAAAATTAAAATATTTTTCAAAACTTTACATTGGCAGATTTAAAGATCAGACCTCAGGTCCTGCTTATAGTTGAAGACACTTGGCCTTTGATAGCTTTTTAATAATGGTATTTATATTCTCTTTGGTTTCATTAGGATAATGGGGGGGGGATGGGACTACATCTAATAACGTTACAAACCTTACTTTGCAGTATAAAATATGCATTTGAACATAATTTACAATTTATAATGAAAAACCAACTGTATTATGGCTTTCAAAATCAGAAAAAAATTGGCTTTTTTAATTCTTTCCATTATTTTTATAGGGGGATGGCCAAAACCTCGCATTAGAATTAAACGCGCACAAACACACACACACACACACACCACACCACACAGTAGTAAATGTGATATATTCTAGGTGCGAACCACTCTGGAATCACCAGAGAATCCTAGAATAAATCACAAATTTGAAACTCTAAAGTTCTTCTATTAGTACTAATGAACTCATAAAGACTGGGCAGGTAAACAAAATCCCTTCACAATAGTGACTTTTAAAGAGGTAGAGGTCCCAGTAACTGCATTACCTGAGGGAGCTTTTACAAAACATATAACATGGTCATTGACGACAGTATGCCACGTCACTCAGTCGTATGTGCAGGTATGTGATGGGGATAGCAGAAGAGAAAGTGGGCAGGGAAAACATCTTACCTGCCAGCTGCTCCAGGTTTCCCTTCTAATAAGTTGACACTAATCAGTATAAAAAGAGCACAGTCCCTCAATACCCTTTTCTGCTACTTATATGGTTCTCTTTTAGATTGAAAAAGCACCTCTGTTTAAGAAAGTGAAGTCACATATTCAAAGACAAACTTAAATTTATTTTAAAAAATGGAACTTTGCCTTATATTTAAATGTTTTAATTAAAACGAGGTAATTAATTATTCTAAGGTTCCACCAGTAACCAGTGTCTCACCACTATTAAGCAACAATCATCTCTTTAAAGTTAGTGTTAAATGATCAAAATCAACTTTGATTTAAAAATAATTTAACAGTTTTACACAAATGAAATAAGTTCCATTACTAAGTCCATTAGCTTTTTTCCAGCTTGGTGATCCATAATAAAACATACATATATTATAAAATAATATCCTCAGGTGATACGGATACTGACACTCCAGGGATCCTACTTTAAGAATCACTGATCTAGCTTTCGTTTGAATACTTCTAATGATTTTATGAAGACAAAGCCAATTTTCATGAATAGAAATTCTCATACTGATTATTAAATATGGAACCAGAAACTTTCATTTCTTACTCCTAGTTTTTCCACCTAGAACAGCAAAGAACAATTCTATTCCTTCTTACATATAGCAGTCACTCAAATTTTCTTTGACCACATCCCACTCTCCTTACTATTCACAACGTTCATCATTCTGGCTACCTCTCTACGTTCCATCAAGTCCTTAATACATGGCACTCAGAACTTAACACAATAACGTAAGTTTTAGTCTGAATAGCAGCTTGCACATGGTCTGTTATATGTCCTAGTCAATAACAGTTTTGTAACTATGTGAGGTCTTTCAGCAACTGTATCACAGTACTTCCCAAATGCCGGTCTACAGACTGATACTATTATTAGATGAATTTTTCAGTGATCTAGAATAAGTGAGAAAATAACAGTGTAGTACTTTTTTCATCAAGTTAAAGTTATTCAAATTAAGTTACTTTCATTCTGAATATATGTCCTTTCTAAATAAATATTTTATTTCTTAAATAAAATAATAGAGAAGCAAGATGGTAGTTATTTTTCCAAAAATCCAGCACTTACTTACCTGTTCAATGAGCTAATCTTAACATCTCTGAAGGACTCACTAGTGGAATAGTGAAGAATCCACGATTATGCTGCTTTGTGTACTCTATGGTAAAACAAAGTTGCTAAAAATAACTCAAAAGTATATATTAAAAAGAAGCAACTATATAGAACTACGTAATAATTTCTTTTACATTTTAGATTCCAAATACAGAACACTTTTAAAGGCACTTGAAGAAGGAAAGCTTTAAGTCCAACAACTTGATATTAACTGCATTAAATAATGCAAATTAATTTCCCTTTTGTATTAAATAACAATACTTTTGTTTCACATGTAGAGTTGAAATCAAAAGATAACCTCTAATCTAATTCAATCACGTAGCTATTTAACATAAGAGACACCAGAATCTCTGAAAAATAAAGTCATAACACCAAAGTTTGAAACTAGAAAGCACTTAAGAGATCACCTCCATATTTTACAGGTGAGAAAGTTTCAATATGACATGAAATAGGTAAGTTCAGAGAACTAATTAGTGGCAGAGACATAACTAGAACCCAAACTCAACTATCAGTTTGGAACTCTTTACTACTTCACGACCCGATATGAAAGACGTGTTCATATTCTAGGAAAGGGTGGAGTGATGCTGAAATATCTGAGAGTTTTAAAAGTGCAGTAAACATATTCCTAGGACTACAGTCCACCAACCTAGGCAAACCTCTTGTACTTATTTTAATCAATCAACTATAAAATTACAGAAAGACAAAAAATGATTAATTGTAAAGCAACTCTTATTAGAATGATCAAAGAAACAACCAATTATTTGCTTAACAAATTGTCAAAGATTAGAAAAAATAATGATACTGGTGAAGCAGCAATATGATGGATACTCACACATTGCTAATTCAGTACAATACTTCTGAAGGGTAATTTGGCAATATTTTAAAGAGCCTAAAAAGTTCTCACTGTCTAAACCACTTATTCCTTTTCCATAAATATATCCTAAAGAATGAATCTAATATAGAGTTCAAATTTTACATACAATAATGTCCATTCCACTATTATTTATAGATGTGAAAGATAAGAAACAACCTAATATCCAAAGAGAACTATGGTTAAATTATGGTATATTAATATAATAGAATATTAGGCAGCCATTTTTAAAGAATCACATTTTCAAAGACATGGGGAAATACTTATGAAATGAAGTTAGGTTATAAAAAACAGGTACATCACTATATGATCAGTATAATCTCAATTTTGTTATTACATACACGCACACAAACACATATATACACACTCATACATATAAATAGCATAGACAAAGACTGAAAGGAAATTCAGAAAAATATTAACAGTGTTATTATCTCTGTGTAGTGAGATTGCAGATAATTTGTTCTCTTTATACTTCTCAGTATTTTCCAAATTTTCTGTAATAATCATATATTAGTTTTATACTCAGAAAACATTATTTTAAAAATTCACTCTGCAGTCAATTTTGAAATTTTCATTATCTCTATTAAACTAAGAATAAATATTTGTTGTATTACAAAAGTACTTCTGTAGTACTACAAATATTTATAGTACTAAATGCTAAGAAGTAAATCACTAATGTGTAAGAGTATAATTTCCACATATATAGGTGGATAATTTTGAACCAAAAAGGTAACATTATTTTATCTCATTCTTGAGTACAGAAAGTTAATATTTAATAAGTAAGAAACATATTTTCAAATAAAATTGGTGCAAGGCATCTAAAAATTGTGCTGCTCTGGTATAACATTGAAGATATAAACACTCTCCAATGTAACGGAGATACCTAGTGTTAGGTTAAAACAGGTATAATTCAGTACATGCATGGTAGTCAAATAATTAACTAAATGAATTACTTTTTTTTTTTTTGCCAAAGTGACTAGAATTGGTCTATGCTAAAGAAAAAAAGTAATACAACACCATACCATTATTTTAGTTGGAAGAGCCGCACCAAAAATCATGACAAAAAGTATAGAACTATAAGAAAATCCAGTGTTTTTGTTGTTGTTGTTATTGTTAATGATTTCTTGGTAAAAATTCAAGTAAAACAGTCAAAATGCTTAAAGCACTGAAAAAGTGTAGCCGTGTATGGTCTGCAATGATTTTAAAAACACTAAGAACAACTCTTCAATGTTTCCTCATTTGCAGACTATCAAACATAACCTTTGAAGTGAAGGATTATATCTATGTCCTTTTACCAATCTTGAATTTATATTCTGTTATAATATAGTAATGACACAAAGGGATGTCACAAACAAAAAGGCAAACTGCACATAATTTTAAAAGTTAACTTTAAAATTATGATTCTAATTTCTGTGATTAAAAAAACACATTAACATGTAAAATATAAAATACGTCCTAATATATTTTTACATAAGAGCTGAGGTTTACCATTTTTAACAAAAATTCTGAGATGAAATTAATAAAAAACAATTTTCATATATACCACAGAGCAATAAGTTTAAATCAGACTATTTTGAGTTGTGTAGCCCTTTATTAGCAACTAAAATAGAAGGTATCTGTTGTACAACATGGGTAGTAATTGACTAACTGGAGATTTATTATACTCTAATACAGATCATTTATAAATGCAATTTCTTTATTAAAAAGCTTCCACCCTTTTTTGTTTGTGTACAATTTGCAAAACTATTCTGAAAGCGGAATATATGTGCACAAGTCTGCAAATACAGATCATTTATAAATGCAATTTCTTTATTAAAAAGCTTCCACCCTTGTTTGTTTGTGTACAATTTGCAAAACTATTCTGAAAGCGGAATATATGTGCACAAGTCTGCAAAGAGTGCAAATTTAGGATATGGTAAATGCTTTACAAGTTACTTTCAAAAAACTGCCGCAATTGGGCCTTTATATTGTCATCTTTTTTGATCAAAATATTTTGATGCCAGCCTTCCTTCCACTGCCCTAAACTATAAAGCATTTTTTAATGAGTTGAAATTAAGGAAGGACTACACCTACTAGAAAAGAGAAGAAAGTTCTATAAGTTTGAGGTTTCAGAATCCCCCAAACCAGGACCAGTATCTTGGTAAAGGCCAGACTGGGACCCCGGAAAGAGTATGAGTATGTGCAGGTGGCATCCCTGAGGATTCAGAGCTTCAGTGGACTGTGAGTGCTCCAGCTGCATAACTCACTGAACTGTCTTGCCAGTTTCTACACTGGCTTGACTGGGCATAATTCAAAAAGGAAAAGCTCATATTCATTCCATTCTTCTGGAGCTCTGTGATAGCCTAGAAAAAGAAAAAATTGATTATGAGAGACATCAGATAAAAAGTGAGCACTCTTTGAATATGCTGGTGGTCTGACTTTGTCCACTTCACAGGTGAAGCCTAGATCTCTTTCACTTTTCTCTTTTTTCTCGATTTCTCTTGCTGCCTCATATTAAACAGAAAAAAGAGAAAATTCCTTATTTCGTTATCTCAAAGAACTTATTCTCATCTAGCTTCTTGATAATTAAATATCAGTCATCCACCCTATCTCTCCCTGTAATTAATAAGGCCAATATTTTTTCAACCACAATATATTTTTCTCTATTCTCTAAACCAAATCCTAGCCACTTCTGTCTTAGTACGTTGGAGTCTTTTCTTTGCCTGTCTCGAATAAACTTGAAATGTATATAAATTAAGTTCCAGATCTAAGAGGTACGCTAGGATTTTTACTTTAATTGTGGATTAGTTCATTATTTATTTTATAAAAATTTTATTTGATTCAATTCCAGCTTTAGGAAATTATTGCAGTTTATTCTAGCTTAAATTTCAGAAATTAATTTAAGCCCTTGACAGGTTTTAATTTCAATCAATACTGCTTAAGCGAAAAACTTCCTAAAAATCCACAATATACTATCTTTCGAATCTTACTAAAATAAATCCGTACTTCAAGGCTGGACTATTCTGGACTACATTACCTTCCCCATTATTTCTCTGCCTCTCCAAACAAATGGACCCATTATTACTTCCTCCTCTCATTTCTCAGTATACACTTTTTTTTAAACAGTGTCACATTTTTCTTTCAGGAAATTTATACTACTTTACTTATTAGGGGAAAAAATCAATGTTATATCTCTTTTTAAAATCCAGCTAACCAAAATTTCTGCCTCTTACACTCCTTAAATAAAATAAACAGTATTACTTTTGTTTTAAAGAAAAATACATGTCATCTGTCTTGCTTTATTAAATTATGAACATCTAAAGTTCAAGAGGTAGATCTACAATTTATTTTTCATAGTCTAGAACACTAAGTAAAACCAAAAAATTAATAAAGAATATATCTCCTGAAAGGTGACTTTAGTTTATACTTGTAAAAAGTATATTGAAGTTAACAGAGTCAGGAGAAAATATGGGTCTCTATTCTAAATAACTTTCTGTATTTAACAGAAAGTACTGACCTATATTCCAGTAATAAATAATTTCATTCAAGAAATCAAATGAAAATCCAAATTATGTTAAAGTTACTAGAAAGAAAATCTACATGTAAAATATATATGTAAAACCAATGATCATATGTATCACAAAGATAACAATTAAGATATTTTGAAACATCACAGGATCAAATATTAAAAGTCAAGGCTTCTTAAAGATACTCACATTTAATAACACCCCAATGGGATGTCTTCCACATATAGTATTATGGTATTTCTTCAAGTAATTGCTAAACGATACAGGGTCTAATTGTTCTATAATACTCATACCCTAAAAAAAAGAAGAAAAAGAAAATGAAAGAAAAAGAAAAAACGAAATTTATTATATTCTAATTATATCTTAAAACTGTTACTTAGAGATAAACATAATTTTTCAGTAAGGACACACAAAGAAAATACATTAAATAAACCTTGTGAAACATCAAACTCATTCATCAAAGGTAATCTCATTATAGTCAACTCCCTATTGACAGAAAACTTTTAATCCCTAGTTTATTTTCTCTATCCTACAGGTATGTTTCTTACCACCTTCACTAGATGTCATTTAGCTCACAATCCTCAAACATTTCAACAGTTTTATATTTTCCTTATATAAAGAATATTTATAAAAGTAAATCTGCTATGAAAATTTTCATATGAAATCTGAAATTAAAATTGATTTATGGCTGTTTTTCCCCATATCCATTATATTCCTCCTGACATTGGCAAGAAAATTCAAGAGTTAATTGTAATTTAATTATTTCTATAACATATACTTAAATATTGACAGTACGTTAAGGCATTTTAAATTACCAGTAATTATCCAGGTATGTGATAAAAAGAAAATGCCACAAACTGAGAAAATAGTTAACATATTTTAATTAACCTAAAGTTCATGAACTCTGATAAATGCTTAAGCAACATGACTTTTATGAACAAGTTTTAAAAAGGAAAGCTTTTTATCTCTATGTTTTAAACTAGAATGCCTTTCAAGATTTTAATTCATAATAAAACTTTTTAGACTACTGTTACAATAACCACTATGCCTTGAACACTTGTTTATACTAAATTCTGCACTCTCCAAATTGTGAAAGAAAATGAAGTAATTAAGACCAAGGCTTTAAACTGGAGTCAGGAGACTGCAAGAGGACTGCACTGACACCTGCTAAGGATCAAATGACAGGATGCTCAACAGACTTGGATAACAACTGAAATCGGTATTCGCCAGCCTTCAACATCTCTCAGCTGGAAGTACCTTAATTGACTAACCATGGGAATGGACTTGCAATTTAGGATTTCTGCCTAGCCAATGAACTGCCTCCAAGAACAATCTTTTGTGGAAATCCCCTGACTCTCCAAGTAACAGGTGAAAACTTGTGATGTCAAATCCGAAGTGGCAATCATAAACTGAATAGGCAATATTAACTGACACAGCTGCAAATTCAGGACTCTGATAAGACAACAAATATCTCCTTTAAAAAAAAAAAAGTTTATCTACATTTAATAAAATGGCTATTTAAAATTATCAGAAGTCAATCTCTCCCTAAAGCAACAAATACAGAAGAGCAGCAAACCTTCTTTAGAGGCATTTAAAAAACAAGAACTAGAATCAGTCTTTTAAATATAATCCCATAATTAATAACCATATTATCAAATCATTAGAACTGTGGAATCATTTTACAGTAAGAATATACATTTATATTTGAGGATGGTTACACATTTGGAGAGGTGGGATGGCGAAAGGAAATATTCTAAGTTTCTTTAGGAGGCATTGACTTCCAGTCAAGATGGTGGAATAGAGGGTCCCCAGTGTCACTCTCTCCCACATATCAACCAATTTACAACTATTAAAAAGCAACAACAGCCAAGCTGGGGCCACTAGAGCTCAGGGGAAGAGGAGAAGAGACCTACAGAGTGCATGAAAGTGGGAGAAGCCAAGATGAGAGAAAGAAAAAACCGCTCCAATCGTTTCATGCTGCAGCCACGTTAAGGCTGGAGCTGCTGTGTGCATGGAGCAGGAGCCTGCAAAATCCGCAACTGTGCCCTTCAGATAAAGTTGCTCAGAGGAGGCAGGGGAGAAGAGGGCCTTGGTGGCCCCTAGGCCAGCAAGACCACTAATAAGGTTCCTGTGGACCCACATAGGAGTGAGGAGCCACAACAACTGAAAAAAAGGAGCCACTCAGAGGCTGGTGAGTCATCACAAGGGACTGGAGCACGGCCCGTCCCATGGGAAGTGTTTGGAGCATGGGCGGTGGGGGAGACAGGCCCACCAGGGAACATTGGGGCACAGCAATGACAGCTGATCTGCACCCCAATCAGCATAGGACCACTCAGAGGAGACTGGTCAGGAATAAAGAACTGCACGGGGTGCCATTTGATAAAAAGACTCAGTCCCAGATGAGAGTTTCTACACAACACAGGTGCACCAGGTCTCTGGAGAGCCATAAGTACCTATAAAGTCAACTGAGCTGCACAAAAAGCTTTCCCTAGGGAAGCAGCAGCAAAGCACCAATTTAGCTCAACCACAGAGCTCAAGTACTGGTCCCAACAGGAAGTTTCCCCATTTTAGAAGTAAGCAAAGAACAAAAAATTAGTTCCTGCCCAGGCACACCACCAGTGCCTCGGGGCCTGCCTGGGGACCCGAGGCATGAAGCTGGGGACTGGACCCCCCACACACACAACGAGGCACACCACCAATGCCTCAGGGGCCACCCAGGGACCTGAGGCATGGAGCCAGGGACCAGACCCCCCCGCTCCCACAACCAGATACACCACCAGCACCAAGGAGCATGCCAAAAACATCACCTCAATGTGGGTGGCCCATCACAGCCACCACAATAAGCATGGCTGCTGCAAAAGTGGCTAGATGCCACAATCACCATGCAGAAGGTCCACCAGCCAGCCACTGGAGTACATTTACACAAGGAGAGTCACCAGCAGAGACCAAAGAAAAGAAAAGGATGTCTCTCTCCACAAAGCCCATTCCAGAGTGACAGAAGAAGTATCTGCTCTATGATAATATTGGGGGACCTGAACACATCTCTCAGCATTGGACAGATCATCTAGGCAACAAATCAACAGAGTAACAATTACTCTTTCAGAAGGAGAGAAGAAATCTAGGGAAATTAGAGGTGGGAGCAGGGAGGGAGAGGGGGATGAGGAGAGATTGGACAAGGGGCATAAAGAATAAGTATGATTTGTAACAATATATATGCCAGTAATATTGATTTGATCAACATATCTCAACGTTGAACCCCCAAAATATGTATAATGAATTGTGATTCACTAAATTTTTTTTTTAAAGAGGCATCAAGATAAAATCTTAACAGTGAAAGAAATTATATGTAAAAAATAAAATAAAAATCACCTTCAAGACAGCAGTGCTAAGAAGCAATGTACTAATAAATGGCTACCTTACAGATATTATAAAACCTACCAAGAAACTACTGGCCTATGTTGAAAAGAAAGTGAGTTGACAAATATGAATAATTTTGCCTTTCAAAACAGTAGACAGAAAGGAAGAGAAGTACTTGATGTTCAAATTAAATAAGGCATCATATAAATTTGGAAGGAAAAAAGTTATAATAGATGACTATGATGACATTTTCAGATTCTCCCTGCCAAATCAGAAATAATTTGCCAATGTCCATAAATGATGACATGTGACCATATAAAATACATAAAATATGTATAATTGTGGCTAACAGTTCAAGTAAGTAATCAAAAGTTCACAAAATCTATGTCTTATAAGTTCTGCTTTAGTCACGTAATGAAATTGCAAAATACTAATTACCGCCCCCCCAAAAAAAGATCTGTAGCCAATAAAACAAGAAGATTGCTACAAGAAGACTTTCAGAATCATCTACTTCTCCTATATACTACAGGTACTTACATTTTCCCAACTACAACATTTGGAAGATACGGTTTGTTTTCATATATATTTTTCTTTATGTGCTTTTTTGCATAATTCAAATGTTAGAGATATAAATATTTTGCAGTAAGAAAAACAGCTATTTCTCTTTTACTTTTGGAACTTAGAAATGGTTTTACTTATCTTCTAGCATTTTAATGACTACATTTAGTAAGTCTTTTCTGATAAAGGACCAAAACTTAATTAACACATTAATTTTGAAAAAATATAGTCTGGGGGCTGGCCCGGTGGCGCACTGCTACAGTGCGCCGCTTGAGAGCGCAGCGGCGCTCCCGCCGAGGGTTCGGATCCCACATACAGACTTGTAATAGAAAGTGCACATATACAGCCGGGTCTCTGTATCCATGGGTTCGTAAATCCAAAATATATATTAAAAAAAAAAAAGAAGAAGAAGAAGTAACAACTATAAAAAATAATACAAATTAAAAAATAAGAGTATAACTATTGACACAGCATTTACATAGTATTAGGTATAAGTAATCTAAAGAGATTTAAAGTTTACAAAAGGATGTGCATAGGTTATATGCAAATACTATGTGCCATGTTATATAAGGGACTTGAGCATCCTCAGATTTAGTATCCACAGCGGGTGGGAGGTGTCCAGGAACCAATCACTGGGGAACCCTGAGGGACAACTATATAGATACATGAATATATAAACAAGTAAGTTTATGTCTACAGATAACCCTTCTTATTATTTTGATCCATATATTCTAACTCCCAGAACTGACTTTTAAGTTGAATTAACAGTACGCTCAAAAAAGAACAGAACATTTATGAGCCATTTAAAAATTCTGTATATAAACTAAAATATTTCAATAAATAGACCACAGAAATCGACTCCAAGTCAAATGTTAAATCAAATATTATATTCAAGCACATTAACATGAAACAAATACTCAATATGTATTCAGAAATTGTATTCCAAGCTATTTAAATAAAATTTTAAAAACTATATTTGGTAATTTTGGATGTCTAAAGTAAAGTAAATCAGATGCAGACTGAGAAGTCAACCTGAACTTACTGGTTCTACTATTTACAACTTATTCTTTTAATTAACAAAAATTTCTAACTAAGCTAGCAAAAAAAGGCAATAATTTCAGGAGAAGTTACACGAGTCATGCCAATGGATAACTGTTAAGTCTTTTTGTTCCGCCTCAAGGTAGGAAACCAAGGTCCATCTATTTGCAGATCATAGTAAAGAAAGAAAATAGAACTAGTCCTCTTATGGTAAACTAACAATCAACATAGAGATAAAAGAAAGACTAAAAGAACTGTTAAATATGAACGTCTACACAACAGAGAGATGAAGAATATTAAAGAATTTAAATGTGACAATTTCAGAATTCCAGAGAATGGTA